TTCAGTTTGTATCAAGCAGAGGGGTGCGTGGACAACTTGATCTTGAGGACAGAGGCAGGAAGTACATACTTGCAGAGCGAAGGAAAAAAATCATCAGAGAGAAAGACACTGAGAATGCAAGAGAGCAAGGGGATCATGTAGGGGACCCACACATAACTGAGACTACAGATGGTGACCTTGGTGGTGAGAATGAGTAACTTTTCCTCTTGAAATAGGAAGGAACAATGAGAGAATGTGTCAAAAATACTGTAAGATGGAGAAAAGGGATGATATGGAAAAGGAATTGGTAAGGGGATTTTGATTAAATGTCTTGAAAGTTCTTCCTAGAATTGAAATATTCATTGTTTGAAAGGGTGTTTTAGCATAAGATTAAGAGCTTAGAGGTAAGCAGGAAAGCTAAAATGGTATATGCTGGGAAGGGCACCAGGAAAATAATGAGGTAGATAAAAGAATAAGTAGGTACTTTGGAGCATCTAGCTGAAGTTAAATGGCAGGTCCCTTACCCATTCTCCAGCAATGTTCTGTTTAGGGAAACACAAGTGGCAAAAAGCAGATGCCAATAAAGATCAAGTGTAGGAATCAGTCTTGCAGGGTCAAATGGCGAGGGAACCTCAAATGCTAGTGAAGACAGCATGGGATGGCCAGTAGAGTACAGAGGCTGGACAAGGAGGTCCCGGAAGGAAACCAGTACAAGGAAGAGGCTGGAAAGGTTGAACCTCTGAAAATCCCAATTTTAAAAAAGCAAAACACATTTAAAATAACAATGAACAATTTGGTCAAAAATCCTAGCCCTCTTAGAGCTTCTATTCTGTTCCCGGGAGAAAGTACGTATATATAATACCTAAATTGGTGAAGGAAATTAGTAGTGTGACAAAGAGATGGTAATCAGAGATGTAAGCTCTAAGTCCAAGACCATAAAGCTAGAATGGTGCTCTGTGAGTCTAAGTGCTAAGAGGGCTCGTAAAGCAGGTACACACATGAGTTTGAAACAAATCCTATTACTCACAGCCAAGGGGAAAAAGTCCAGATTGTATTACTGACTTGCTGATTTGGCATGCAATGTTCTACTTCTCTTGGATTATGTCTGTTTCTTTTTCCTCTATAGTTGTTTGGGAAAAATAATTTATTTTTATTTTTAATTGATTTTAGAGAGAGACATTGATGTGAGGGAGAAACATTGATTGGTTGCCTCCCACACGTACCCTGACTGGGGATTGAACCCACAACCTGGGTATGTGCCCTGAGTGGGAATCAAACCCGCCTCCTTCTGGTGTAAAGGATGATGCCCAACCAACTGAACCACACTGGCCAGGGCTGGGGGACGAATAATTTTTATGCTCCGAACTTGACAAGGCTTTCAGATGTTCATTGGCACAACAGGTACCAAGAGAAGAAAAATGAGACATTTGTCTGAAAGGGGCTTGGGCTATCTAAGCTTCGCACCCAGGGTAGGTTCCCTGCCTAGGGGCTTCTCTCCAGGCCCCCTCCTGTTATGTGATCAGTAAAGGTTCCTAAAAAAAATGCAAACCTGATAGCCTACACCTTCTCTACTGGGACAGGGTCTGGATAGAGGTGATGACAAGGAGACTGAGGTAAGGCTTCACTTGGTGAGGGGTGGGGGGAGGTGGGGGGCGGGGAGGTGTGGCTGCTGCACAGTGGGAACGGGAGCTTCTGTGGTTCGGGAGGGCTAGAGCTACAAAGGAATGATGTCATGTGGGTCCCTGTTGGGGATGTTGAAGTCCTCAAGTCTTCAGCTGGAGAGGAGGTGGAGAAGCAGATCAGAGGATGACTGCAGTGGTCCTAGAAGGAGGATGGTAGAGGTTATGGAAGGGTGTGGAGAAGACACCATAGCCCACATATTGGGACCGTGACTGATGGTGATGGTCTGTTTTCTAAAGAAGACCCAGGAGCTCTAAGAGCAAAGCCACCTCCTCCCATTCTCCTCCTTCCAGTAGAAGGGCAGGCTGTGGTGAGAATGCAGGCAGGTG